GGGGGCGGTTTGTACTGAAGACGCCGCCAGGCACGCTCCATGAGGCCGTCCGCTACCTTGGCAAGCTCGCTCAAATTCGCGTACTGCGTCCCTTCCGCCAAATCCTGGAGCTGGGGATGCATTTGGCGTAGCACGCGGTCGACCTTTTCTGAGTCGGGCACCTCTTCCCCGATTCTTTCGTAAAATTCGGCGATGGTGTAAATGAATTCCTTGAGGTTCTCCTCGGGGTGTTGAGTGCGGTGTCTCAACTCGTCCTTTAGACGTCGCTTGGCGTCGATTGAGGCCAACTCGGCACGAAACGCCGTCTTGAAATCATCCCAACTGCCGAAGTTACCGATAAAACGCCACCATAATTTGGCGCTCCCATCCAGTGCAGCCGGAACGACCTGGCTGAGACGGTTTTCAGTGGTGACTCCCGTAATCAAGCAAAAGTTTTCCAGCCTCTCGATAAATTCTTCGGGCGACTGTCGATCACTGAAGCCTGTGAACTTCGGCAACTGCGCCGCAATTCTCGGCAGAGGGCCGCCAGACGGGTGGACTGCAGCCGCGGTCACCTCGGGTTCGTGTGCTGGGGGCACTGCAGCAGTCAGATGCAGTTGGCGCACTTGAACAGAAGCTCGCTCCCGCTGCATCACGGATCCGTCGGTTTGTCTCAAAAGGCGGGCTATCAGTTCATCTGGCACCTCCAGGTTGTCCATCTTCGATCCCGGACGAGTCCCCACTTGTTAGGATGGAACCTTTACTGTCCGTCCTTAATCCCAGAACCTAACTGCACGTTCCCCCGGTCCGTCCTCGTCGTCTTTCCCATTCCGTGTTCGTCCCCTCGCGGCAAGTGCGCGGCACGTGCGCCTGGCATAGTCCTTCGCCAGACACTCCTCACAACGTGACCTCGGGGGTCACGTGACCCCCCCCCCCCCCCCCCCCGGTTACGCCGACGCCGACGCCGCTCAGGCTGGAAACGGGCCCCTAAGAGCTGTGCTCTAAAATACGTTGCAATAATTGTGTGTCTTTAAAGTTATCAAGATAGAAATCTTGCCAAATTGATGCTACCACTGTGCCGTTATTGGGACGTGTACACACCGATAACTCACAAGTTAATTAATTTGCCAGAGCGCAATTTCTACAGAGCGTTACAACAAATAATAAAAAAAAAACAAGTAGAGCGCACCTGGGGACAGGTGGGGGTATTAAATTGAGAATGCTAGAGACATGTTTGTACTAGATTCGCAGATAGTGCGCATGGGCCGGAGCAATCAAGAGGCGCTATCATGTCACATGCTTCGCAGGGCCTCTTTTCCTGCGAGTAGCGTCTCCGTGTACGTCAACTAAAATAAAGCGTCCGCCCGGAGGGGCTCCGCTACACATGTTTTCATTTTGCAGGGCGGTAACATGCTTCAGCCAACGAATCGCCGGGAGCGATATGGGACGCCTCTTTTGCACGTCATCAGGGAGCAGTCACATGACAACCAGGATCACTAACCACCTACGTGCCCCTTTCACCCTCCCTCCCCCATCTTCTCAATTCCTGTTTTTACACCGGAGCTGCTAGGGGCTAGCTTCCCCAGTATCCTGTCCGCCGGCAAGAAAAATGTCCACACAAAAATATGGACAGCTACCGCCATCTGCGAGCGACGGCGGCAACCAGACAACCAGATCGCCGGTGGTCTGGTTGCCGCCGTCGCTCCTAGATGGCGGCAATCTTTCCAGCCTTTCCACTCTCGATTGCCGACTTGCGGCCGGCCATTCTTTCATTCCCACCATAGTACAGCTTCGCTGGTCTTCCTTCTTCACCAGGGTGGAAAGGCTGAAAGTTTTTATTGTCGCCACATTCTCCTCTCTCACTCCAGGGCATTTCTCTTCGCGTTTTGTTTGTTTGTTTGTTTCGTTCTTTTTTTTTTTTTTGCGATACAAAACTGAATTTTGACAACGCGCTGAAATTAATCTCTGATCTGTACGTTAATATCCAGATGCTGCCGAAGCAGTTACCATCTTACTTTGTGGTGGCGAGTCTAGTAAGCGAGTCTTTTGACGCAGATGTGGTTTTTCCCATTTTTTTTTCTACGTAAAATCGTTCTTTTTTTTATATAGATGTGACCGAAGTATTACCTCAGAGTGAGTGGTGACATGCAGCAAGCTAATGAATACCGACTTCAAGTTAATTTTAGAGCGTAGCTCTTAGCCGCCCGTTTCCGGCTTTAACGGCCTCGGCGTCAGCGTCGTCGTCACCATCAGCATAACCGAGCGTTGCATTAGGGGACGTTGCCCATAATAACGTCACACGTAACGTCATGTGTTACGTCACGAGGGTCTCAAGTGACGTCACCAGGGAGGAGCAGGGAATTTTTTGCGCTAAATTTAGCGGAACGATTTCCCCGATAAATTTAGCGGAAAAATTTCCACGCTAAATTTAGCGGAATAATTTCCCCGCTATATCTACCAAATAAACTCTCTGCTCAATTTAGCGGGAAGGTGTCCCCACCAAATGTAGTGAAAAAAGTGCCCCGCTAGATTGAGCGGTAAAATTTCTCCGCTGAATTTAGCGGAACAATTTTCCCACTAAATTCGGCAACAATATTTTTCCGCTAAATTTAGCGGAAAGTAGAAAGCCTGTGCGTCTGCTTGTCTTCAATGTTCCTCTTTCGTTATCGTAACATTTCCGGTATTTATTATTCTCTAAATATGGGGGTGTTTTTAGGGGCTTATTTTACAACATATTCTGTTTTAACCTTGTCAGGATTTTTCCCGCACTTCCGGAGCGCGGCTTCTTTGTCGTTATCCAACCTTGCGCGCGCGACTCCACCAGCGTGGTTTTGTTTCGCAAGAATCCCTCCACCTGCTCCTCCAAAACATAAAAAAAAAAGGAAAAAAAAAAGAAATGTTGAAGTAAAAAAGCCACAGAAACGAAAAAAAAAATCTGGGAGAGAGAAACGATCAAAATAAAAACTAGAACTTTGGGCGGGGTGAGGGGGGGGGGGTGGAATGGGAGAGGGCGAGGGCGCGCGTAGGTGGTCGCGAGATCCCTGTTTTCACGTGACCACGCCCCGACGACGTGCAAAAAAGGCGTCCCGAGCGATATATAACCGTTTACCCCTAAGCTGACAGTGTGGTTTAAGCCAGTGTTGTACACGTTCCTGAAAAAAAAGGAACGAAAGCACGTTCCTCGTTCTTTCTGAATTTTGGAACGCGTTCCCGTTACATGAACTTTCATTTGTGAAAAAAGAAACTCGTTCGCATTAGAGTTTAAAAAATGGAACGTATCTTTACATATACGTTACATTTGTATTTTGATGATTACCATATTCAATTAGATCAAACAAATATTTTTTGTGTCTATTCTATCAAATGGCAACATTCGAATTTGAATGCCGTGGTGGAAGGACACGGCGACCTAAGCTGGACATTTGGCGAGATCGTCGGTAAGATTTCTGACCGCCGCGATTGGCGAGCGTTGCGCTAGACCTTGGTGCTCGCCAATCGTGGCCGTCAGAAATCTCGCCGACTTTTTCGCCGAGTGTCCAGCTTAGAGCCCCAAAGGACCTAATCTGGACACTTGGCGAAGAAGTCGGCGAGAAATCGAGTAACTGTGATTGGCCACCGCCAAGGTCAAGTGCGGCGTCGGCCAATCACGGCCGCCGAATTTCTCGCCGTCTGTTTCATCGAGTGTCAAGATTAGGGCCCCAGGGGAAGAAAACAAGCGAAAGCAAGGGTTTCATTTGTAGATATACTCCTTAAAAATCTCATTTTTTAACCATTATCATGTTTGCGGTGGGCGATTAAGAGGAGCCAAATGTACTGTTACCTCACACCGCACAATCGTTTTACAACAACCTCACACGTCTCTATCTAACAGAGTCCCTTGTGCGAACTTAACCACAGTTTTTTTTTTTGTTTTTTTTTTATGTTGCTATCCGCAAGACAACCAAGTAAAGAAGAGGCTAGGGCTTTTGAAAGGTGAGTCTTGAAAACTACCAGTCCTTCTCGGGAAGGTTGGATTCACTGTTCAGTTTGAAGGTGCGGACAGCGAGAGATGGAATAAAGGTTAATTTTTATGTATCTTTTAAGTGACCAATCTTCGGGTTACAAGGGTTCCTTTGATGTCTGGAAACCTATTCTTTTGTTTTAACTGTAGGTCTCTTTGAGGAAGTTTACTCATGGTTATAGCCGGCCTTGGATCACTGGGTGTGCGAGGGTTGATGGAAGCAAAGAAAGTAGCTAAGTTTGAGTCGTCTATCTTTGTGTGCCTTTTCTTTCGACTAAACATTTTGCTCTTGTGTAGCAGTCCTGGTCACTGAAAAAATAATCAATTTCCACTAGCTCTCCTGCACCCAACTATTACCAAGAGAGAACCCCCAATATAAACCCTAAGATTAGTAACAAAGATGTTAACGAGATCCTGGTTTTTGTAATGATATTGTTTTTATACTTTTTTATAATTTCCCTCTTGCAAATAAAAAAAAATTACCCCACTGGACGAAAGAAAACGGAACGCTGCTCTTTTTTCCGTTCCAGTAAAAATGGAACGAGTTCCCGTTCCAGTTCCACCCATGCAAAATAGAACGGCGGCGTTTCCCCTTTCCTCCTGAAAGGAACGCGTTCCAGTAACACCGTTCCTTGTAATGCCTTTCCGTACAACACTGTTTGAAGCTACGTGGTTTTTGATACTTCTCTTTTGTCACGTCATCACGCTCTTGCTTATATCCCCGCAGAGAAAGGTGGCACTGGTGATGAGAAATTGGATTGGCCCGACGAGCACGCGGCTAATGCGTGCTACGCGCTCGTGGGGCCTGTGAAATCGTCTTATGCCGGAGAGTTAGTCTGGTGGTCTTGGTAAAATATTTGGTTATCTTTCAGCGTTACTTTCTGTATAACTATCCAGTAATCTCTATGGTCTTAATCTCCATTATGAAATCATAATTTCCCGTCACACCGGACACTTCTATTGGTAGGTACATTTATGCATACAATCGCATGCATAAATGGAGTTAATGTACGATACTTACCATGAAGCACGCCCATGGTAAAAACAATCATTCTTATATCTCTTGTAAAGCCAGAAGCTATAAGGCCCGTTACTGCAAGTATGCTTCCTGCCACCATGACGAATATAATTGAAAACCTTTTATGCAAAAGTGGCAGGAACAGAGCTGAAAAAAAAAAACATTTGTTAATATGGCCCAGATTATATCAAGTCGATTTACCTTTCACTAGAACACTTCGAGTGTGGGCTAGTCATTTTAAACAATTTGCGTTCCTGTTAAAATCTGACGTTTCAGCGGGCGAGGGGATTTGCTCGCTAAAACATCGTTCGACGAACTGAGTGCCACCCGATGTGGCATACCAGCACAAGCGCGTTAAGAAGGTGTAACGTTAATTTTTATAGAAATATTTTGAATATAAGTTTCTTCGCCATTCAAGAGGTCTCCCTAGAAGTTATATTCCCAAGTTAGATAAATTACAGCTCCACACGTAGTGGCTTTAAACATAGGACGCAACGCTATAAACTTTTGTTTATAATATCCGTATGGCACGAACACAAGGAACCGTGAAAACTCCGTAAATAGCCCCTGTTAAGCTTTTATTACAGCTTAAATGTGCAAAGCTTGTAAGAGATTGTGGAACTTTGACATACGTGACAATATTTTATTATTGCCTTTTTTACCATCCTGCGTTGAATTACTTACACACAGCAAACTTCTACAAATGGGTACAAGAAAACATCGACGTACCTACCGAACTTCCCAAGGCGGTCATGACGCTATTTGGCCACTCAGCGGCTCTTCTGTCAACATCGAATTCATTGGCGTATTCGATGAACAAATATCCCATGGATTCTAGGGCACCAAGGGCTAAGAATGTGATGCAGCCAACAATCAAAATCACGTGCCACGAAGTAACCTGGGGCTGCGGATTTTCCACGGTGCTTTTCAGCGGTGACACTTCAGTGAGAGCCATGTTGAAATTTTCAACCTGAAGAATGAAAGTTCTTTTTAAGATTGCAATAATGAAAATAAAAATAGGCACCAAGGAACGATAGTGAAATTAGTAGCCTCAGTATTGTTAGATCCTGCCTTGGCTCTTCTTATCTTATAAATATTTGCTGGATAAAAACGGAGGGTATATTTCAGATATACTTGTTGTCGCTCAGGCAAAAACAGTTGTCGATTGTTCGGCATTTTCGACAAATATGTCCAACTCAGAAAAAATAAATAAATATTCGCATCAAGGATCCCGACAATTCGTCAAAAACCGCGAAATTCCACACGCAGTGCCAGGGTGATTTTAAAGCCGTTTACTGTTGTACCAAATCTAGATACACTGGAATGAATAAGATAACCCTTACCAGGGCGAAAATTTTGTTTTTTACTGAGACAGCACCCATGCAAAGAACTAGATGCGCTGTGTCTTCTTCCTGTGCCCAGGTGTATTGACGTGAGCCTCGACGTACACCTTGAATTTTTGTACCACATTCGGTACCTACTCAAACCTCCCTAGAAATATTTACATGGTGTGCAGAAAAGCGTGTTTTCCTGTAATGGAACGTCATTATATCTGACGTCGCTTGAAACTTGCAGTAACCAGTCTCAAGTTTTGAATCCTATCACCAGCGTTTTAGTTCTGGTAATTCACTGGTCTCATTTCTTCTGTAAGATATGGGAAATGCGTTCGACCATTGCGACGCAGATCAGCGCAGAGCGTGTTCCAATGTATGTCAGCGTGATATCTCAATGGCGTCACAAGGGTTATTGCCACTGACAAAAAATTTGCCTAGAGTAAGCGCAAATAAAATCCCAATAAATCTAACTTCCCACGAAGCTTAACCTATTCAGGATTTATTTGTTCAGACTTTAGAAATGCTAGACATCCAAAAATAAACGCGTATTGTAAACCACAAGAAATTTCACTATCTGCAAATTTAATATTTATCCTATTAAAACCCCCAAGACCGTTAAATATAGTGGAAAACTGTCTAAATTGGCAACAGCGCACCCAGCCAACGCGGAATCTGGAATAAAAAAGAAACACAAGCTAAAAAACAGAAAGCAAGTGCGAGCGTTTGACTAAAATGTTTTCTCCCAGAAAATAGATGCAAAATTCTCAACGTTGTCATCCATCTGGCGTCGTTAAAACAGCATCAAGAAACCTCACTCATTAGAAATTCACTCAAACGTTTTTTTAAACATGCTTCTTTTAGATATTCCAAGCTGCGTTTAAATTGGCCGCTTTATTTGTTCAATTTCTCAAATGTAAATTTTGATTCGAGCATAGTTCTCAAGGGTATTTCACTAAGTTAGGTTCTCAAGGGTATTTCACAATGCCTCTCCAAGTGAAGTTCTTGGATTGGTGTGTCACCGAACCGCGGCACACCCTCTGATGAACGCGGAGAGAGCAGAACGCAAATAGCAGAACATGTAATCAGGATTTGTAATGGGTACAACAGCTTTATAAGAGCACAAACGACTTCTCCGGAGTTCTGGGAAGTTGTGAGAACGATAGTACAGATGAATTTTAAAGGAAAGAACAAACTAGGTAGAGCTAGAAGAATGGTAGGATATCGGACAAGAAAAGTGCAGGGAACGCTCAATTACACACTGTCAATCATCTTCCAGAACTACCCAGACTTCCGCAGCCTTTACATGATACTCATCTGGTGGAATGGATCTGTCCCGGAGCTGTACGATCTCCACATGATGCACAAGGACGGGGTACCAATTCGACCTGTCGTCGACTTGGCAACTTCAACTCTGCGCGCCATTTCTAACTACCTCCACAGGCTCCTCTCCCATCTCACTGAAAGTACTCCAACGTATATAAAGAACTCCGGTCACATCATAGAGGTTGTTTCTGGCCCAGAGCTAGTTGACAATAGAGCCTCGTCTCCTTCGACGTAGTGTCTTTATTCACCTGTATTCTAATAGCTTAGCGGTGTCCGTTGCCAGAAGTGCTCTTTAGGCAGACGAAACGCTTCAGAAGAGAACGCGCTTCTCGCTGGATGAGATCTACCGATTACCAGAACTCTGGGTGTATTGCACAATCTTTAGTTTGGCGTGAAGTTCTACAGACAAGACAGCGGGAGAACCATGGGGGAACTATATCTGTGACAAAGGCAAACCTCAAATGGAGGCCATCCCGTATGGAAATCTTATATCTGGGCCATATCTGGCCATATCAAACATTATATGATTATATACGGCCTATATACATTCTTATCTGGCGTATATACAGACATATCTGGCGTATATACAGCCTGATATGGCGTATATACAGACTTATCTGGCGTATATACAGTCTTATCTGGCATATATACAGCCTGATATGGCGTATATACACTTATCTGCCGTATATACAGACTTATCTGGCGGCCGGTTTTCAATATATTAAAAAGTTAAAACAAGTAAAAAAAATCTTTGTTAGAAAACTCTGAATGACTTATTGTTCGCGACCTAAATGTTAGCACAAATAATTCCAAACTTCAGCTTCGACAAGCTTAAGTTTAAGATTATTTGTGCAAGTTTTCGTTAGGATTTCAATGTAGCTTAATTATTTCAAAGTGTTAACATTACGCCCGAATAGACAATTTGCTAAATCCCATAAGTGCCTCGGCCCGTACTCGAGGAATCATGGGGACGGTGTTTCTTCAGCTGCCTAGTGATCGAAAATTTTGAGCAATTCTATGGTTACACAGATTTGAGTGTAATTCGGAGTCACCCTGAACACGTGCCGTACAGGACCCAAATACCTGCCATACCACTTTTAAAATGTCCCGCCAGTGTCAGTACTGTGCATTCCGTCCAACCTTCAACCTGGGTGAGCCGCAGACATATCTCTTACAAAGAGATTTCGGCGGCTCAGCCTGGTTGAAGTTTGGACAGAATCCACAATATCCTGAACGCTGCCATTTACGAAAAACTTAAAAGTGATATGATAGGTACTTGAGCCCTATGGGAGGCTTGTTCACGGTGACTACGAATTACACTCGAAACTGTGTAACCATGGAATTGGTCAAAAGTAGCGATTACTAAGGAGCTGAAGGACCACCGTTTCCATAACTCCTCGAGTGCGGGCCGGGGCACTTGGGAGAATCGTAGACAATAAAAAGAAATAAAGTGCTGATTTCAGGCTTTTGTACTTTTGAAATGCCTGGCCAGATCTGGAATTTCCTTACTTAGCCAGATCTGGGATTTCCATATCCGGCCAGGGGTATCAGGCTATATCTGGCGTTATGAGGCTATATCTGGCAGATATACCATATCAGGTTATATCTGGCCAATTTTTGATATGGCCATATCTGAAATCTTCAGATCTGGCCAGATATAAATTTTTTGTAAGGGATGGAATGCAAGGCTCTCGACTCTTTCGAGCCAAAATCCGGAACCTTCATGCGTTCTGTTGACGACTGCTTCTGTGTCGTTAATACCAGCGAGGTAGAACGTCTTCGGAAACACTTCCATATTGTTGGAATCGTCTATACAATACATGGACGAACGCGAGGACAAAGGATCTGTTCAGATAAGATCATGCACGCGAGTCCGAACGTATTCTTTGTTTTGGCCAATTTTTATGCGTTACTCTCCGACATGTGTAGAGAACGTAATGAAAACAAATTTTTCGAGAAACATAATATTCAAAGAGAGAGAAAAAAACCTTTAGTGCGCCAGAACGACCTATTCGATTTTTGAAATTTTCGTTTCCATCCTGTTTGGTGAAACTTGCTACACAAACAAACTACACAACAATATCAGACATCTCAAATAGCTTTTACTTATAATTTATCATGGGCACTATTGAGTGAAATAGGTAGCGCATGGCAGAGGTCACCTATATCAAGTCACAAATAGTAAACCTGGCTTCTTTGACGTGTTTTCGATAGAATTAACAGCTTTTATCAACATAATTTGAATAGTTACAACATTAAAACTTATGTCATATATTTTTATTAAAACGTTCTTTCGAATGATATATAAATCATTGATTTATCTCAAAGATTGGCATTTTTATGTCGCTCCAAACCTGTTCTAAATTACAAAGGAAAGAAATTTCAAGGGGCAATTAAAACAAATAATCATTTTTGATTTTCCTGAAATATATAGTGATAATTCTCCACCATAATCTTGAGTTTAGTTACGAAAAACATGTTGCATCATTTTCTTTCCTTCAAAGTCGCAGCCCCGCAAAGTGCACCTTTCACGCCGGCATTTTTCCCCAATGCCACAGACGAGATTATCTTTTGATTCCTTGTATTTATGACTAGCTATATTTTGTGCTATATTCAAGTATTGGGGTCGAGTTGAAGTATTCTACTAATTAAAACAATGCCGGCGTTGCTCGTCCTCCTTATTGATTTAATTAATAAGCCTTTTATGCCCTTTACATTGAGAAGTTCTATGAGCTTTAGCTAAACTTTTTCAACAAAAGCTTGATGAAAACTTGCAATCGCTACTACTGCATCTGTTTTAGAGAAAGTAGTACAAAATTATGTTCAGCAGTGCAAATTATATGCGAATATTTATACCTATATTCGCGATGAGGTGGGAACGTTTGAGCCACCAAGCTTGTTGCACCGCTAATCTTCACGGTTGTACGTCCGGCTGACCAAAGTAAGTCTGCAACTTCACTGGCAGGCTTTCAGCAAGACGTCTGTTAGGATTTATACTATTTGTAATTATTTATTATACTATATTAAAAAAAAACATAAAATTAAAGAAGTTATAGGTAACGAGTAAATATATCGAGCGCACTGCATTTGCCCACGTGGGCACGCGGTCGTCTCCAGAAGTCTGTCTTTTGTGCCTCCTCAAACCCCACTAACAAATTCCGCGAAACACTCACCAGTGCTGCAATAACTCAAACAAGTGCGAGAACACCGATCAACTCCGAATGGGGCTACAAATAGGGAATGCGCGAACTGGAGGATTTGCCCGATCCCTTTCGGGGAATTGACATCCAGATCTTAA